TTAGCTACACTAAAAACAGAATATGTGGTGGATTTAATTATACTCATTTATTTGGGTATTTTACTTCTGTTTAAAATGAGAGTGGGGCAGTATCTGTGTTCCTCAAAAGAAGTTTTAAACTAAAACTTTTTTTTTTTAGCTCTTCTCTAAAATTGTATAGTAAGAGAACCACTAATGATGAATGTAGATTTAACTGTACAAATTTTGTGCCATGTATATTTCAGGTATCTGTCTCATGTGGAATACCTGACTTCAGGTCAAGAGATGGTATTTATGCTCGCCTTGCAGTAGACTTCCCAGATCTTCCAGATCCTCAAGCAATGTTTGATATTGAATATTTCAGGAAAGATCCAAGACCATTCTTCAAGTTTGCAAAGGTACTACTAACTTTATAATTGCTCATGTGGCTTCCTCTCATGAAAAAGTACTTTGCTCATGTATAGGCTATTTTTTTTTTTTCTTTTTTTTTTTTGTGGTGGTGCTGGGGATAGAACCCAGGGGTTCATGCATGCTGGGTGAGTGTTCTACCAACTGAGCTACATCCCCAGCCCTCATGTGCAGGCTTCTTAAGCTCATCATTTATTGTCTAGTAAATTGGATATTAGTACTACATGTTGTGAGATCACTCACTAGAGTCGTAATTTATATTCATTGTAGGATTGATTTTATTTTTATAAATGGAACAGTGTCATTTTTTTAAATGATGTACTTCATTCATGTTCTTTATTTTTGCCTTTTTTTCTGGAGATTTCATAGACCATGTAAAATTGATGCAACTATTTTGACTCTTAATGTTTTTAAGTCATTAAGGTTGTAACACCTACTCTGGTATGTTTTGTAGTAGCCAGGTTTTGATACACAAGCATATGACTGAAAAGTCATTTGTAATTAGGGGTAAAGAAGATTCTGGTTGCATTTTTGTCAACAGACTGCAGAGGAACCTTATTCTATCCCACAGTCTCTAGAGTTAGCATCCGATTCACTATCATGTGGCCTTCGAGTGCTTGAAATGTGTTGACATAAGTACAGAAGACATACAGGATTTTTGGAACCATTCTAGAGAAAAACTATAAAATATTTCATTTACTAACAAATATCGATTATATATGTGGAAATAAAATCTTCAAGAGTCAGGTGTAGTTGCACATACCTGTGATCTCAGAACTTGCGGGGCAGAGACAGGAGAGTCATAAATACGAGACCAGCCTGGACTACAAAGTGAGACCCTGCCTCAAAAAAACAAAAAAAAAAAAAACCTTTGATTTTTGTATCAAGTAAAATATATTTGAAATGTTCACTTTTTTGGTATGATTGCTAGAAAATTGAAAATGTACATGCATGGCTTATAAATATCTATTGTATAGCTCTCCCGTAGAGTGTAAAGTTGAATGACCATTATACTTTGCTGAAGAGATTTTAGTCATTACAAATCTTCGGGTTTTTTTTCCTGTAGTTTACTCTTACAGAAAGATTAAACTTGGAAATTTATTTGAAAGACTCCTTTGTACTAGAGACTTCTTTAATGAAACTAGAAATAAAGTTAATGAGTCTGAATTTTACTTGTTTATTTTATTGGTGGAACTGGGATTTGAACTCAGGGCTTCACACTTGGAAAGCAGGTGTTCTTCCACTTGAGCCACATTTTACTGTGGCTGTTTTGGAAATGGGGTTTCACAAACTATTTGCTTGGGCTGGCCTCAAACTGCAATCTGATCTCAGCCATCCCCAAGTAGCTAGGATTACAGGCATGAGCCACTGGTGCCTGGTATGAATCTGAATTTTAAAATCTGTCTTCATCTTCTTTCATATCATGTGATATAGTTACATAACTGTAGGAGAAGCTTTGTGAAGATTGTAAAGTTTCATCCAAGTTGTATACCAAATGTGTTCAAATAAAAAGGAAAACTTACAATTACTGAATATAATTAGTGAAATGAAAACTAAATTTGAAAATTATACAATCAAGATGAGTTTTCCAAATAATTTGAATTTTTTTTTTTTTTTTTTTTTGCGGTACTGTGGTTTGAACTCAGGGCCTTCATCTTGAGTTACTCCACCAGCCATGTTTTTGTGTTGGGTTTTTCGAGATAGGGTCTCTTGAACTATTTGCTTGGGGCTGGCTTTGAACTATGATCCTGCTGATCTCAGCATCTTGAGTAGTTAGTATTACAGTGTGAGCCACTGGCACCTGGGTATAACTTGGAAACAGGATGCAGTGGTGCAGGCCTCTACTCTGGAGGCTTAGGCCAGGAGGTCACTTGAGTCCAGGACTTTCAGGCCAAGCCTGGGTAACATAGCAAGACCTTAGTTCACTTTTTCTTAAAAGTTCTTGACATATTTTGCTTTCTTGGTACTAGAAAAAGTTGAAATGAAATATAACTCCCATCAGAAGTATATGAGAAGGCTGATTTTTTTTTATCCCCCTCCTATCCTCAAATACAAAAATTCCACAATACATTTTCATGTTTTTCTGTTTTTGAGTGGTGCTAGAGTTTGAATAAGGTGCCTTACTTGAGTCAGTTCCCAGCCATTTTTTTGCTTACAGTTATTTTTCAGATAGGGTCTTGTATTTTTTTTTTTCTTTCCCAAGACTGGCCTTGGATTGTGGTCCTCTTACCTATGCCTCCTAGCTGGGATTATAGGCATGCATGACCATCCTTAGCTTGAGATGAGGGTCTTGCCTACTTTGCCTGGGCTGGTCTTGAACCATGATCCTTCTGCTCTTCACCTCCTGAGTAGCTGGGGTCACAAGGTCTGTACCACCATGCCCAGTCCAAGTCAGCTTAAGTTTTTTTTTCCCCTTTGGCAATACAGGGGTTTGAACTCAGAGCTTTGTGCCTGCTAGGCAGGCACTCTGCTTCCAGCCCTTTTTACTCAGGTTATTTTGGAGATAGGGTCTTATTTTTTGCCTAGATTGCCTGGACCACAATTCTCCCATTTTACACTTGTAGCTGGGATGACAGGCATGTGCCACCATTGAGATGAGGTTTTGCCAACTTTTTTTTTTTGCCTGGCCTGACCTGGAACCTTGATTCTCCTAATCTTGGTCTCCTGATAGCTGGGATGACAGGCATGTGCCACCATGCCCAGTTACTGTTTGGGATAGAGTTTCTTACTAGCCTTGAACCATGTTCCTCTTATCTTAGCCTCTTGGGCAGACCAGATTACAGGCTTGTACCACTATGCCCAATTTACATTTAAAATAAATATTTTAAAAATGATTACCAACAGATAAAGTATTCCCTACCTTGCTTCCCTTTTCCCTTAAATGTTCTTGGAAATACTTTCATACTACTAGTTAACAATATACTTATATTTAAAAAAAAAAAAAAAGCCAGGCACCAGTGGCTCATGCCTGTAGTCCTGACTAATTGGGAGACTGAGATTGGGAGTATCACCATTCAAGACCAGCCTAGGCAAATAAAATAGTTGGCAAGACTCCATCTTGAAAAAAGCTAGAGCAAAATGGGCTGGAGGTGTGTCTCAAGCAGTAGAGCAACTACTTTGCAGGTGCAAAGCCCTGAGTTCAAGCTCCTTTCCCACCAAAAATTAAAAGGAAAAATAAATAATAATATAAATAAATAAATAAAAGGAAGATTTGGCTTGGTGGCTCAAACCTGTAATCCTAGCTACTTGGGAAGCAGAGATTTAGAAGGATTGCAATTTAAGCCAGATCAGCAAATATTTCATAAAATCCCCATCTCAGTGTGTGGCTGGACATGTTGGTGTGTGCCTGTTGGCATGTGCCTGTCATTCCAGCTGTATGGGGAAGCATAAATAGGATTGTGGTACAGGCCAGCCTGGTATAAAGCAAGACCCTCTCTCAAAACCAAACCAAAAGGGGCTGGGGGCTTGGCTCAAGTGGTAAGAGTGCCTACCTAGCAAGTGTGAGGACACGAGTTCAAAATCCCTGTACTGCAAAAATGGCTGCACTGTATACTTGTCTATTTTATAGTGGTACCACATATATTAAATCAGTCTCCTATTAGTGGCTATTAGATTTTTTTTTTTGTAATATCTAGGGTTGTTGGGTAATTTTGACACTATCAGTAAAATAGGTATAAAATTAGCAATCTTGTATTAGTCTTCTGGCTTTGTGTGTGTGTGGTGTGTGTTGTGCTGGGAATTTTGCTGAGGGCTTTGTGCATGCTAAATACATGCTCGTCACTGAGCTATACTTCCTCCAGCCCCTAGTGTTCTGTTTGAATTAGCATAGAGGACCTTTTTTTTTTTTTTTAATGCTAGTAGTAGGGTTTGAACTCAGGGCCTCACACTTGATAGGCAGCCGTTCTACCACTTGACCCACTCCACCAGCCCAACAGGACTGCTTTTTACTACTGTCTGTGTATCTTTGAATTGATTTTTTTGCTGTTAGCCATTTGCTACTTCAGTGCTTTTTTTCATACTGATTTTTAGGAATTTTTTTATGTTATGAAGAGTGTTTTTATGCTGACTTACTGGAAGTCTAGGCACCAGTAATTTTAGGAAAATGAACAAAATAAGGTGAACTTTAAATTAGTCTGTAGTCTTGATGAGTTATCCTTCTTTGTAATACTTAAGAGAAATGTTTCTTGTATCAAAAGAGAAATAGAAAATTTGAGGTTGAGGGATCAAATGTTGAAAAGACAGTAAGATTTCATGTCACAACTAGGTTTGGATGATAATGCTGCTAGTTACTGGCTCTTGTAACCCAAATGGCAAATTATTTCTGTGCATCGGATTTTTCATTTGCAAAATGGAGGTGATGCAAATCTAGAGCAGGCAGGGTCAGCCAACTTTCTGTGAGTAGCCAGGTTTCTTGGACTCCATAGGGTCTCTGCCAGATGTTCTTTGTTTTTCTTTACAGCCCTTTAAAAATGTAAAGACCTAGCCTTCAGTCTTCTCTGTGGTATTATAATAAATGTGAAGTATAAGTGCTTATGTTATGCCAAGTACATGCTAAAAGTTCATTAAGTAGTAACTGAGAGCTTTACTAATCAAAATTCTGTTAGGTTAATGTAGGGATTAGCATACTCTTAAAAAAGAAGGCTGTTTATGTTTTAAAATCATGTGGAACCAATCCAAATTGACCCACTACCTGTTTTGGTACAGCCTGTGAGCTACAAATCTATTTATTTAGATAGAAAAAAATTGTAAATTTTTGTGGTGTGCAGCATTATTTTTGGTGGTACTGGTTTTTTGAACTTAGGGTCTTGCACTTGATAGAAGAGTTCTACCACTTGAGCCATGCCTGCGGCTGTTTTTGCTTTAGTTATTTTTCAGATAAGGTCTTGAGCTTTTGCCCAGACTGGCCCCAGACTGCTATCCTCCTGCCTCTTCCTGCTGTATAGCTGGGATTACAGACATGTACCACCATGCCTGGCTTGTTCTTCGATAGGGGCTTACTAACTTTTGCTGGGGCTGGCTTCAAACCATGTTCCTCCTATCTTCCTCTCCAAGTAGTTGGGATGACAGAAGTGAGCCACTGCACCCGGCCTATTGTGTTTTGATATATGTACTCTATGGAATGGCTATATCAAGCTAAATGTCCATTGCTTTAATTTTTTTTTTTTTTTTTTTTATGAACAGAAGATTTAAAATCTGTCTTGGTCTGGTGGAGTGGCTCAAGTGGTAGAGTGCCTGTCTAGCAACTATGAGGCCCTAAGTTCAAACCCCAGTGCCACCCCCCAAAAAAATAAATAAATAAAATTTTTACCATTTATTAAAAAATTTTTAAAAATTATTGCTATACTGGGGGTACTTTGTGACATTTATGAAAGTTCTTACAATTTATAATACTTGAATTCACCCCCTCCACCATTCTTTTCCCTCCTCCCCCTATTCCTGGAATAGTTTCAACAGGTCTCATTTTTCCATTTGCAATTTTCAAATGTAGGCTTTGTATTCTTTAACCAATATCTTTACAACCTACCCCCACCTCCCAAGCTAGAATTTTTAAATGGATGGGGGAAATTGTCAAAAGAATAATATTTCATACTACATGAACGTTATGTGAAATTCTTGACCATAAAGGGTTTTTTTTGGAGCACAGCCAGTCTCATGTTGTATATGGCTGTGTTTTTCCAATGCCAGAGCCGACAGGTTGTGACAGAGACCATATGGACAGAAACTGTATAGCCTGTAATGCCTAAAATACTTGTATTTGGTGGCCCTGTATGGAAAAAGCATGCTGCTGTATAGGTTCCTGAGGGAACTAGATTAAACTTAAATGAAGTTTAATTTGTCAAGGCAGCTAACTTTAGTAGTAAGTATTGATGAGTCAGGGTATTTGAGTATTCAATTCCGGTGTGTTTTTGTGTAATGGATTTATGTTTCACTTTTTTTTTTTTTTTTTTTTGTATGTTTAGGCAGTGCTGGGGATCCAATCCAAGGCCTCCCAAATGTTAGGCAAGTGCTCTACCACTGAGCTACATCACCAGCCCTCACTTCTCTTTATAGTGTGGAGAATTTAGGTTCTAGTTTTTTAAAACCAATTACTACCTCCTCTGCTCTGTAAACTCAAACTTTGAATCCTTTTAATCCTTAGGGGATGCAGTTATACCCCTGCCTTTAGGTCTTCTATTCATGGTGCTAGAAAATTGAGAAAGGAAAAAAATAGGTAGCACTATTGTTTTTGCATGAAAACTCAACTATATTGGGTAATTCTGAGCTTTGACCATATTGGTTGCAAATTACTGAATTATTCATGTTTTTAGACAGCTGTGTGGGAAGCAGGGCTGTTTGATAGGTTTTAAACCTGTGTTCTCAGAAGAATGGCCTAACACTAATGATTGGTTTCTTAAAGGACTTGAAGGGGTTCAGATTTGAGAGGGCTAACATATCACAGTTCTACTTGGGAGAATTAATCCATATTTTGTCTGTGAGTTGTATCCCAATCAATTTGGTTTTCAGCAAACTTCTCAGAGTAAGAGTCTTTCTTAGAAGTATTTTCTATTAAAATTGTCCTTTCAGAATAATAAGTTCTGATTATATTCCTTAGTTCAAATACCACATTTAATTTTAATAATTTAAATACAGCCCACTTCATCTGAAAGAAAGCACAGTGTCAAGACTCATCATTTAAGTTCTTACTTGTAAAATGAAGACCTGTAAGACAAAAGTTCTTTATGAATTATTCTCAAAACAGGAATTGATTCATAAGGGCTAAACTACCTTGAACTATTACAGGTGGAAGTACTGGGAAATTGGAGTGTAGAGGTATAAATCTAGTGTTGCACATATCTGTATTTCTTATTCTTTCCTTTAAAAGAGGGTGGGTAAGACATATAATTAAACTCAAGGAGGGAATAGAATAGTCTTTGGTACTCAGTTGCTTCCTAACCATGCCCTGGAGTTAGTCATTCCTTTGTTAGGTATGCTCTTACCACTTTGCCACTAATTTAGAAATCCTATTTTATCTCTTGCCTAGCTTCTTTTAGTGGGCAAAATATTCTAAAAGCTATTTCCAGAAGAAACTTTAATAAAGATACTGTGATGTTTATAATTTCCTGAATGTAAATATATTAGAACAAAGCATCCTGGATAGGAGACATTGGTTGGTTTAGCACAACTCAATAGCAACCCAAAACATAATGTTCCTTTTAGTTTTCTATAAAACTAAAATTGACTTCAAAAAATAAGCTCCTCCTCACTTGCTACTTGCTGTGTGCATTGTCTTGTTTCTTAAATTACAAAGAATTGTGAGTTCTTTTGGTGGTACTAGTGTTTGAACTCAGGCCTTCTTGCTTACTAGGCATATAATCTATTACTTGAGCCAAGCCCCCAGCCCATGAGTTTGTTTTTAATAAACATTAGAATGTAGGGACATACTTTACCAGTGTACAGACATGTACGTGATAGTTGTTATGAGATTAGCTTATCCATCTGTGGCAGAAGTATTTTTAAAATTTGAGGTATTAAAAAGTAAAGTCATCTCTAATCTCAGTATTTAACTCTTTTATATAATGTCAGAAGTGAAGTTTCCCCCAACTTTATAGCTCACTTGTATTCTTCCTGATTTGTTTATATGGAGACATCTTTATGTACGTGCATGTAATTTCCATTTTTCCTTAATACCAATACCAAACCAAAGCAAACTGTACACACTGGTGACTAAGTTGCCTTTTTTCATGTATATCATGGACCATTTTCCCAGGTCAGTGCATCTAGAGCTCCCTCAATCTTTAATGGCTGCATAATTCCACTGTTAAGGAGGTAGCATATTTATACAACCGGTTCCCTGCTGAGGGACATACGGTTGTGTCTAGTTTTTTGCTAGCATTATGATGGGTTAGAGCCTGTAATGAATGGTAAGGAAGTAAGTAGATGATAGCACTACTACTTTAAAGAAAGAAGTAGAGAAGAAACTTCCTTTGCCATAGTCACTTACTAAATGAAATTGAATGAAAACACTGTCAAAAGTTGGGAGGACCAAAATTGATACTTTCTCTCTGATCTTTTTGCCATGTGTATATCTGAATTCTTTGTTTTTAAAGAAGAAACAGCATTGAAGCATTATTTGGGGGGAAAAACACACACACAAAATCCAGCAACTCAACATTCATGAGCAACTCTATACTATACCAGTATGTGCCTGTGCAGTGGAAGGAAAACAATTTTGGTAAGGAATTAAAACTTTAGCTTTAAACTTCCAACAGGTTGATATTTATGATGAATGATGAATCAAAAAAAAGTTTTTAAATCTTATGTTGACAGCTTTTTTTCAGGTTTTTTTTTAAATAAAAGTCACCGTACCTTTGATACCTGTAATTTCAGTGTAAAGTTTTCCCTTTCCCTTAAAGAAAAATCTGAATTTGCAGCCAACAAAAAGTTAGATATCTTAAGGTGTGTATTACTTCTGACGTATGTTAAAATATCTGTTAACATTTATTAGACATTTATGGGTTACCTTTATCCTTTTCTTGAAGGGGCCAAGTTCAATTGCTGAGTTTTGTACATATAGCAACAGTCCTTTTTCTAGGTGTGTGTTGCATCCACTTAGACGCTTTAAAATGCTCATTTATTTTGTTTTTTAAAGTATACTTGGGGGTTATCTTTGGTAGCTTTTTGTTAAACCTAAGCAGGATATCTGTTATACTTATTTCATTAATGTAAATGTTTTCTACCTTTTGCACCATGTAGGAAATATATCCTGGACAGTTCCAACCATCTCTGTGTCATAAATTCATAGCCTTGTCAGATAAGGAAGGAAAACTGCTTCGCAACTATACTCAGAATATAGACACCTTGGAACAGGTCGCAGGAATCCAAAGGATAATTCAGTGTCATGGTTAGTAAACTGCAAAATGACTTTCTATAATTTGTCTAGTTAAATAGGAAAAATCAGTATTAGAAAGCATTACTGCCATCTAGTAATGAGATCAAGCATCAGTGTTATTTAATGTTTATCTTTTTTTTGGCAGTACTTGGGCTTGAATTCAGGATCTACACCTTGAGCCACTCCACCAGCTTTTTTTTTTTTTTTTTGGTGATGGGACTGTGCCTGGTCTGGCTTCAAACTGCAATCCTCCTGATCTCTACCTCCTGAGTAGCTAGGATTTATAGATGTGAGCCACCAGCACCTGGCAATAATGTTTATCTTAATAATTGTAAATAGCCTAACAGAGTGCAAAATAATGAAGCCCAGTACAGTTCATGCATGTAATCCCAGCTGTGGAGGGCAGAGATTGGGAGGATTGCTGTTCAAGGCCAGTCTGGGCAAAAAGTGAGACCCCTATCTTAAACAGTAAACCAGGTGTGATGGGCATGCACGTATCATCCCAGCTACAAGGGAGGCATAGGTAGGAGGATTGGTCCAGACCAATATAGCCAAACAGTGAAGCAAAAAAAGGGCTGCGAGCTTTACTGAAGTGGTAGAGCACTTGCTAGGCTCTGAGCTCAAACCTTGATACTACTAGAAAAAAAAAAAGAAACCAGAAGTATTGGCCTTACTGCTTAATTGTACAAAACATCAAATGTTAGTGAACTTTTGATTTCAAGATGCTGCAGTTGCATGCCATTCAATTATTTTAATCTTTTCTAATTATAAAAGTAACACTGGCTGTGGATGAAGAAATGACATCATTAGTTTGTGAAACCAAAGGAATTAGGTAGTTCAGATATAAGATTCAGAAAATGACATTTTCATTCTAAAACAGTAAGTAATTAACTGCCCATTTTCTTATGTTATAAAGTATAAGGCAATGGTTGAGCTAAGATAATACAATTGGAACTTTCCAACCCTGCAGATTTTTAGCCCTTGCAGAATTATTTTATTGAGAAGAGTGGCTTTAGAGGATGAAGGATACATTTATAGAAATTTATCAATTCTCCTTTTCTGGTGTCAAGCTATAACCTTTGAGGTTCAAAAAAACAAATATTCCTTAGTAAAGTATATATGTTTTGGTTGTTTTTAGGTTCGTTTGCAGCAGCATCTTGCCTGATTTGTAAATACAAAGTTGACTGTGAAGCTGTACGAGGAGATATTTTTAATCAGGTAATTTATCTCACATATTTTAGGAATTCTCTACATCTCTGATCTGTTTCTTCTTTTTGCCTCCAAATCTGTTTTCTCTCTCCCCAAAAGTATTTATCTGATACAGAAAGATCCAAGAAGAAAGTATTATTATTGGGAATTCCTGTGAAGTAGAACCTTTGATAACTTAAGTAGAAAATATTTCTTCAAGCCCAGCTTGGTAGGACATGCTTGTAATCCCAGCACTCAGGAGATTGAGGCAGAAGGATCAAGAGGCCAGACTGAGCACAGTGATGCTTGCTTGTAATCCCAGCTGTCATTAGGTAAGATTAGGGGCCTTGCAAGACCCCATCTCAGCAAACAAGCCAAGTGGTGTACGCTTAGGATTCCAGCTACAAGTGAGGCATAGGTAGGATGATTGCCTTCTCAAGGTCATCACTAGGCAAAAACACAAGACTATATTAAAAAAAAAAAAAAGCAGAAAGAGCGAGGGGCATGGCCTATGTGGTAGAGTGCCTGGCCACATAGTAGAGGCCCTGCGTTTAAACAACCGTTCCCCCATCCCTCCCAGAAGTTGGAGACAGCCTCTGCTACACAGGGGGACTCTGTCTCAGGAAAACAAAACAGCCTTTCCCCATAATGCCTCTTGTGAAATGAGCTTCTTAGTGTCTTAGCCTAAAAGAAAAAGCCAGACCCAAGTGAGATTTTGCTAGTTTTGTTTTTATCTTTCCTTCCTTCACCCTCTTCCCTCATTATTTTGGCAATACTGGGTTGGAGCTCAGGGCTTGCTCTTGCCAGACTCTACCACTTGAGCCACTCCTCCAGCCCTTTTTGCTCTGGTATATTTCTCATGAACTATTTACCTGGGCTTATTTTTACCCAGGCTAGACTAGATCATGATCCTTCTGATCTCAGCCTTCCACTGGGATGATAGCTGCACACCACTGCACCCTGCTGTTGGTTGAGATGAGTTCTTGTGAACTTTTTTGTCCTGGGCTAGCCTTGAGTCATGATCCTCCCAATCTCAGTTTCCGAAGCAGCTGAGATTGCAGGTGTAAGTCACTGGCATGGGGCTTGGCTTGAGAGACTCTTGAATTCATCAGATGCACTTCTACACAGATACTTTGTTGGTGTATCCAATTTTATGTTTCCTTTAATGTTTAAAAACTTGCATGCCATTGACATTTAGGTTGTGTGCTGTTTACCCACAACTTTTCTGTTTCCTGTGGTAATTCTGAAATGTATTCTTAGGCAGTGTGGAAATGTTGACTACTTCTAACTTGGGCCTTCCCTTTACATCCCCGTCTCAATGAAAATCTGAAACAAGCAGGTAGTTCCTCGATGTCCTAGGTGTCCAGTTGATGAACCACTTGCTATCATGAAACCAGAGATTGTCTTTTTTGGTGAAAATTTACCGGAACAGTTTCATAGAGCCATGAAGTATGACAAAGATGAAGTTGATCTCCTCATTGTTATCGGGTCTTCCCTGAAAGTGAGACCAGTAGCACTGATTCCAAGTAAGTTGGCGTGGTTTTGGGGGATCATCTCAGACATCGGGCCATGGGTTGTGGAACTGTGGAACAGATCCTAGTGATCTTACTGTTTCTGTTTAAAGAGTAGTGAAGAGCTAGCTTTATGTTTTAGGTGGTATTCTTGTTCATGAAGTCTGGTGAAAATGACATTTTGGTAGGGATGAGATGAGGTCTGTCAGGACAGAAATGTTAAAATTTTAATTTATATGAAGTGTTCAAGTTAATATTTCTGAAAAAAAATTTTATTATCGGTACTGGGTTTGAAATCAAACACGTTTTAACTTTTTTTTTTTTTTTGGTGATACTGGAGTTTGAACTCAAGACTTTGTTCTTGCTAGGCAGACGTTCTACCGCTTGAACCACGCCCCCAGTCCTACTAATATTAAAATAGTGGAATGCATTTTGTATGTGGCAGAGGTTAGCTTCAGTTAATTTACATAAACTTATGGAACGCCTTATTCCATGTGTTTTTAATCTTAATACTGTAGTGATTTTTCATACTTGATTTAAGATCTAGTAAGATTAAATGTATAGCCTATTAGAAGTGAAATGTACTTGTGTAAGGTAGATTGTGGAAGCTCAAAATGACGAGTACCTTCTTGTAAAACTCAGTATTCTGGGTTATAACCCTGCTATATGAATGTAGCTTCCCTAACTATATTGGAAGCCACCGATGAGAAAATGGGAGGGAGGTTTCAGCTGCATCAGGTTTATCCTTTCATAAATTAAAGTGAGAGAAGGGCTGGAGGAGACAGTAGTATCACACCCTTGCATCATCAAACAGGCACCTAGAGCAAATAGCTGGAAGAACAGGCATGCTCTATAACTGTGCATCTTTTAGAATTCAGTCTTCCCTAAATAGCTGTGGAATCCTGTTAGTTTAGAGGATAATTTGTAATTAAGTGAAAAATGTTTTAGTATCCAAGCCTGTTTTGTTTATTTAATTAATTATTACTTATTATTGTGGTGGGGAATTGATTTCAGGATCTCATGCATTCTGGGCAAGTGTACTACCACTTGAGCCACTTTGAAATAGGGTCTAACTAATTTCGCCCAGGGTGACCTCAGCTCCAGTCCTCCTGTGTCTGCCTCTAGAGTGGCTGGGATTATAGGTGTGCACTACAGGGTACAAACCCCTTTATTTTTGAGCTTGCTTCTTTCTTGTGGTGTGTGGGGATTATGCATGCTAAGCAAGTACTCACCACTGTCACCACTGAGCTACAGCCCATTTCTTTCTCTCTCTCTCTTTTTTTTTTTTTTTTTTTTAAACATGAGGGTCTTGGTATTTTGCCCAGGCTGGTATTAAACTCATGGGCTCAAGTGATAGTCCTACCCAAGTCTCCCAAAGAGTTGTGACTAGAAACCTGTAACACCATACCTGGCTTTTTTTTTTTTTTTTTTTTTTAAAGCAAATGTTTTCTCTGGCTTAGCTTTTCTTTTAAAAGCTTTCTGTTAGGTAGTATAATAGTGTGTGATAGGCAAACATAAGTTTTTGAGAATGTAAAACCAGTTTATAATATCAGAGACTTGTGTGACTTCTTTTTGGGAGGAGGGGCAGGGAGTGCCAGGAATCGAACCTAGGGCCTTACTTCCACTTGCTAGGTGAGCACTCTACCAGAGTCCCTGTGTGCCTCTTTACATTAGGAGCTATGCAGTGCAATAGGAACTAAACACTATGTGCCAAGGACTCTTCTGTGCATCTGACATACTAACTAACTCATTTAGTCCTCATCTCAACCTTGTGGGAACATGTCACTATCCCCATTCTCTGCAGGTGACAGGAACAGAACCTGAGCTGCGTAACTGCACACCTGCTTACTAGATAGCTGTGACGTATAAAGACTCGGTTGAGTGTAAGTGGAGGCTTTAACCTCCTCTCCCTTTTTCTAACTCTCCTCTTTTTACCCTCTTTTTAGGTTCCATACCCCATGAAGTGCCTCAGATATTAATTAACAGGGAACCACTGCCTCATCTGCATTTTGATGTAGAGCTCCTTGGAGACTGTGACGTCATAATTAATGAATTGTGTCATAGGTTAGGTGGTGAATATGCCAAACTTTGTTGTAACCCTGTAAAGCTTTCAGAAATTACTGAGAAACCTCCACGAACACAAAAAGACTTGATTCATTTATCAGAGTTGCCACCAACACCTCTTCATATTTCGGAAGATTCAAGTTCACCAGAAAGAACTTCACCACCAGATTCTTCAGTGACTCTCGCACTTTTAGACCAAGCAACTGAGAGTAATGTTGATGATTTAGATGTGTCTGATTCAAAAGGTTGTATGGAAGGAAAAGCACAGGAAGTACAGACTTCTCCTAAAAACGAGAGAATTGCCATGGAAAACCCAGATTTGAAGGATGTTGGTTCCAGTACTGGAGTGAAAAATGAAAGAATTTCAGTTACTGAAACAGTGAAAAAATGCTGGCCCAATAGACTTCCAAAGGAGCAGATTAGTAAGCGGCTTGATGGTAAGAGATGCTGTTGAAGCTGGGTGCCAGTGATGTATGCCTGTAATCCTAGCTACGCAGGAGGCAGAGATCAGGAGGATCACGGTTTGAAGTTATCCGGGCCAGTAGTTCATGAGAGCCTATCTCAAAATATACCTATCACAGAAAAGGGCTGGTGGAGTGGCTTAAGTGGTAAGGACACCTGCCTAGCAAGTGTGAGGCCTTGAGTTCAAATGCCCAGTACTGAAAAAAAAAAAAATGCTGTTGAACCTTTTGAAAGAATTATTGTAACAAAAGATTTGCAAGAAATTAGTCAAACCCAGGCCCTCATGCATACTACACAGGCACTGTCACCACTGATCTGTACTTTCAGTCCTGATAGTGTAGGTTTTATGTAGTTCAATGAAATCCATACTTACTTATTTTACAGTACTGGGATTTGAACTGAGAGCCTCAAGCCTTGCCAGGCAGGTGCTTTACCACTTGAGCCACTCCACAAGCCCACGTGTTTTAACAGTGCTGTGTATGTTGCCTTTCTCTAGGGGACGGGAAGGTGAACACTGAGTTGAGAATGGGTATTGTATTGTGTTCTGCTGTTGTCTGAGGAGTTATAAGCTGGTAGGAATGATGACTGAGATTTTGGGTGCATACTGTCAGCTGCTTTGAGCTATCTCTCATAGAAACTGTCATTTCTCTGCTCCCAGTTGGGAAAACTAAGGCCCAGATAGATTAAGTACCCTATGCAAGGTAACAGCTAGGCAGTGGAAGAGCCAAACTAATTTCCAGGTCTATCCTTAGTCCTCTTAACTATGCTGTGTTGTTCCAAGTCTTGAAAACATCTCTGATTCTTCTCTTGAGTATCAGGAATACCACCTGCCCTGCTTCCCTGCTTCAACACATGCAAAGTGTCAATTAGTATTAATTAACTTAGGTGAAATAGCCTAAGTTTCACCTGCAGTTTGGAAAGTGGTGTTTAAGTCAAAGTAGTATATATGGGTAAAATCCTAATCAGTGTAAAAAAATCTCTCTTTAACTTAGGTTTAACAGTTTTGCACAGCTTAGAACATTGTCTCATACTATTTACCATACTTGGTGGAAACTGACAAATCTTAAATAAATGTGTGTAAGTGTTGCATTCATTTGCTGTAAAGTAAGTTCAGCTGAATAAATCTTTGGGCCTTTGTCCTACAAGGCACTATATTAAGTTCTGGATCTACTCATGTTTGTCTACAGTTACAAAAGTGGGCGATAAATGTTTCATTAACATTTTAGTACAGATGTTGAAGCAGAACAAAGTACTTTGGTTTGAATAAAACACTGAAAAGTTTAGGTTCTACTTAGAGATTAGGTTATAGAAGACTTTCAGGGGACAAAAAAGTTTTCTTATGTTTGCAGTGTGGCAAAGACAGAAGTGAAATTGCTACTGACTTAGGTAACTGAAGCCTAAGCCTCTACCATACAGTCTACATATACACTAGATGACTTCTGCACTGGGAATTTTCCTTGAATGTCTGACAGATTCGTCATGTATACAACTCTGTCCCCGGAAACAAAGAGTAAATCTGGAGCAGTCTGTTTATATTAGAATTGATTTTACTAAGCGTAGAGATTTTTACCTTTAGGTACATACAGGCTTTGGAATTAGGTATGTGATGACCAGTAGACTTCACTCACATTTTAGTTATCCAGTTAATCACCTAGTTCTCATTCTCTGAGTTCAACGGTAAAAAGGAAGAAATGGTTAATACAGTAAGTAAATATTGAATGTCTTGATAGAGGGCAAAAACATAGAAAGGTAATGGACTGTTCAATTCTTGGTATGTGTGTGTTGGTGGAGGGTTGGGGAGACGGAGCAGAATACAACTAAAAGTGCAACCATGTGCTGAGGCCCTTGAAAGACTGGGTATGAATGGAAGGAAATTGCCCAGTTTTGTGTACCAGGTGGGGTTTTCTTTTAGCACTGTAATACTTAACTGCTTGCCGCAACTGTGCAAATTAGTACTGATACCTTAGAAAGCTGAATACATTTTCTTTTAACAGGGAAACAGTGGCTTTCAGAGTAATTTGTAGTAATTGTGAAATCAATTTTGTGGATTCAGGTCAAAATTGTCACACAATTCAAATAGGTTTCACTGTGAGAACTGTATTATGAAAAACTCTATCTTAAAAAACTTGAGAGCCACTTCAAAGAGAACTTAGATATGCTAGTAAGCGTCTCAGTGCTGTGTGCTGATGTAGCGACGAGGTTTTTATGATTGAGTCTAGTGCAACAAATACATTAATTAGGTGAGAAAACAGACTTAGTAGCTGCTTGTTCTTGTGAATTCAAGGGTAGAAAACTTCACTAATTTTACACTTTCATAGATCCTACCCTTTGATGGAAAAAAACCAACAAATTTGACAAATGTATTTGTGGTTTGAAGTGATATGCTTGATCATCTTAGAAGAGTTGTCATTCCTGACCTGGGCTTGTTCCATGGCACCAGGGGAGGAAATCAGGAGATTCTCCTTATCATCACCGAGTATGAATTTGGGAGGACTTGAGGTTAAAGACCAGTGCTAGGCTAGTGCTTCTCTTAACTAATGTGTGTAGGACTTTTTCAAAAATGCAGATTGTGGGGCTGAGGTATAGCTCAGTGGTAGAACTAAGCTCTCTGATCTGATGCCATTAGTATCCACAGACTGCATTTTGAATAGGTGGAGACATGGACAAAACAAGTTAAATGAAAGTACTTAAATGAGTATACTAGCATGTGTCTGTAATTTTAGCACTCAGCATGCTGAACAGTAAGATCTCCAGTTCAAGACCACCTGGGCTGCAGAGCCAGACCTTGTTTCAAAAGAAAAAAAGCAGTGGGTACCCTAAAAGTGGTATTTAACTCATTATGAATTGGGTGTCTAATGTAGGCTGGGCCAATACTTCATCAGTGCTCTAAAAAGGAATTGTTAAATAACTATTGAATAATGATTCTATACTTCCCCCCCTCACACTTAATTCATAAAAGTTGGTAAAATTGCTTCATTTTATAGATGGGGGAACTGAGATAGAGATAACTTTATGTACAAAAACCTAGTAAGTGGTATAGCTATGATTTGAACTCAGGACACTAAAACAGTTTTGTTGTTTAAAAAAAAAAACCACTAATAGTAATAGCCTCCGATGAGATACATATTTTGGCAGTACTGGAATTGAACTCAGGATCTCATGCTTCCTAAGCAGGTACTCTATTGATTGAGCCACTCCTCCAGCCCCAGTAATGATACTTGTTAAGTCTCAGAAACCTGAAAGTAACTATTCTTTCATTGGTATATTTCAGGTAATCAGTTTCTATTTTTACCACCAAATCGTTACATTTTCCATGGCGCTGAGGTATATTCAGACTCTGAAGATGACATCATATCTTCTAGTTCATGTGGCAGTAACAGTGATAGTGGCACATGCCAGAGTCCAAGTTTTGAGGAGCCCTTGGAAGATGAAAGTGAGATTGAAGAATTCTACAATGGCCTAGAAGATGATGCTGATGTCCCAGACAGAGCTGGAGAAGCTGGATTTGGGGCTGAAGGAGGTGATCAAGAGCCAGTTAATGAAGCTATACCCAGGAAACAGGAAGCAACAGACATGAACTATCCATCAGACAAGTCATAATGTAATGATTGTCCAGGTACAAGAACTGTCCCACCAGCATTAGGAACTTTAGCATGTCAGAATGAATGTTTACTTGTGAACTCAACAGAGCAAGGAAAACAAAGGTGTAATATTTATAGACTGGGTAAAATAGATTGTTTTTCCATGGTGATTTTTTAACTTCCATTATTTCTGTACTTGTACACTCAACACTAACTTTTTTTTGGAAGGTACTAAGTATCTTTAATCAGCTGTTGGTTCAAACTTCACTTTCTTTTAAAGGTTCATTTGTATGATACATTCGTATGTACATATTTTTTGTTTTTGTCTAATGAGTTTCAACATTTCAAAGTTTTCAAAAAGCCATTGGAATGTTAGATTAAAGGGAACAGCTTATCTAGACCAAAGAATGGTATTTTCACAATTTTCTTTGTAACATTGAATGGTTTGAAGTCCTCAAAATCAGTTCTGCTGAACTTTTGATCATTTAGCACAATTACCTATTTTTAAACACTGGCATTTTCCAAAATTTATGGCAGCTAACTTTTTAAAAATTACAAATGACATGCAATGTGAGAAGGATATCAACAATAAGGAAGAGCACTCAGTTGTCTTTACTTTTTAAAAGTAAGACTTGGTGCTAAGAGTTTTCAGGAGTATTGTATTTCAAATGAAGATGGCTTTTGTACTTCCGACGGACATGTGTTCTGTATTGGCTTATAAAACTAACCTGATAAATAAATACTTTGGCAATGTTTCGGCTGCTTTAGAAATTATAGTGCCTGCCTGCATCCCCTTAGTTTTGAATATTTGCCATTGTTGTTTAAATACCTATCACTGTGGTAGAGCTTGCATTGATCCTTTTCCTGAAGTATTAAACTGCCAAGATGTGAATATGCAAAGCCTTTCTGAATCTGTAATAATGGTACTTCTACTGGGGAGAGTGTAATATTTTGGACTGCTGTTTTTCCATTAATGAGGAGAGCAACAGGCCCTTGATTACAGTTCCAAAGTAATAAGATTTTAATTGTAACTCAGCCAGAAAGTACATGTCTCCTGTTGGGAGGATTTGGTGTAATAAATACCAAACTGCTAGCCTAGTATTATGGAGATGAATATTGATGTAACTTGTAATAGAATAGTTAATGGAACTAGTTTCTTATAATTGATCTTTATTTAAAAGCTTAGTCTGCCTTAAAATGAGATCAATTTTCTCAACTGCAGAAGCTTCTAGCCTTTCAAAAAAAGTCCATACTTCATACAACTGCACAGTAAGCATTTATTTTACAAACCTTTTCTGAACATTACTCCCAAATGATGAAGTATTCTTTTGTTGGTTTAGTATTTATTACAATCAAAAGGGTTTGAAATACAGCTGTTCTTTATGTATGAAATTCCCAGCAAGGACCATTACTGCCAGAAGAAAACTGTATTGAATGGCCATTTCCCTACCTAAGAGATGTCTTATCAATCTGAATTTGGCTACACTAAAGAATGCAGTATTTAGTTTTCCATTTGCATGATGTGTTTGTGCTATAGATGATATTTTAAATTGAAAAATTTGTTTTAAATTATTTTTACAGTGAAGACTGTTTTCAGCTCTTTTTATATTGTACATAGTCTTTTATGTAATCTACTGGCATATGTTTTGTAGACTGTTTAATGACTGGATATCTTCCTCCAACTTTTGAAATACAAAACCAGTGTTTTATACTTGTACACGGTTTTAAAGTCTATTAAAATTGTCATTTGACTTTTTTTCCCGTTAACTTTTAGGCTGAGATGCCTTCTTCATAGTCTACATTTCTTCAGTTTAGAACACTGGCTTAAACGGCCCAGTACTTAAAAATACTGGTTGTAAAATGATGCACCATGAAAATTAATGTCTCAGAATTAGTATTTCAGGTATACTAAATGCCTGGGGCCTTAGCAGGTAAATGGAGGGGGGAAGGGCAGGGCATGGAATAAGAACTATAAAACATCAGGTTAAGCTAAGGTGGCAGTGGCTGAAGCATGTAGTCTTAGCTACTTGGGAGGCTGAGATTGGGAGGATCATGGTTCCAGGCCAGGCCAGCCTAGGAATTTGAGAGACCCCAATAGCTGGGTGTGGTCAGGTCAGCCTGGGCAAAAATTGAGATCCTGGGAATTTGAGAGACCCCAATAGCTGGGTGTGGTAGTGCGTATCCAGCTACTATGAGAAGTGTGATGGATCACAGTTCAGGTCAGCCTGGGCAAAAATTGAGATCCTGTGTTCAAAATAACCAGAGTAAAAAGGACGAGAAGCTTGGCTTATGTGGTAAGAGTACCAACCAAAGCAAGTACTAAGTTCAAACCCCAGCACCAACCCCCACCCCCCCCCAAAAAATCACAGAAATGCTTCAATGAAAATACTGTTTTAGTGGCCTTATCTGTAAAGGATACCCATTGCTTACCAGTGCTTTTTAAAGCTAAATCACTGAAAAGTACAGGTCCATAATCCTTTATCCAAGCCCTTGGGCTTACTTGGCATTTTGGAATTCGGAGTTTTAGAGAATTAGCATATATGTAATAGCCCAGAGAGGCCATAGTCCCGTTTAGTGAAATCATAGCCTCAGCAATTCAGATCAGGTTTTGCTGCAAAATGAGGTAGGCTTTTTTTTCCCCCCCACTTCGGACAATGGAGGCAAGAGTGTGTTAAGTTGTAGGCCAGCCTGGGTTACCTCTCAAAAAAAAAAAAGTGATAGGGAATAGGTATATATACAATCCAAAGAGAAACTTGCCCTGAATGCAGCCATTTTTTGAAGTTCTTGAATCTTATATGAGAACCACTGAAAATTTAAATATTAAACCAATAAATCTTTATTATTTAAACAGTTTTCACGGCCATTTTTATAAATTTAAAAAATAAATATTTGCATTTTAGCAAAGTCACACGGATTGCATCAACTCACTTTCACAATATAACATGAGATAACTAAGCATCAGCACCATAAAACTGGCAAGATCTGTTTCTTAAAATTCAAGGAAGTAGTTCGTAAGCACTGAAGATCCCAGCTATGTACTAACCTGCAGCATCAATAGTTTGGAAAGCTGTAAGTCAGTGATCACTTCTCATAGGAGCCAATGTTTCTATTTCTGGCACATGTAGAGACAAAGTTCTTCCATTACTAAGTATCAATAGCTTCCTGATCCCTTTCTGTCAGCATCTCAGGATTCACGAACGAAAGAACTACAAGTTATTTAGTATAATTCTTATCTGTAATTTAGGTTTGCACAGACATTTATTCTAACAAAAGGATTGTTTCCACCATGCTGCTTCCTCCCTTTTCATAGAATCTCAGACTTAAGATTTAAATCATAATTAACTTAATGTTTATCTTAGTTCAATTACAACCATAGAAACTGTACTGTTATCTGAACATAGCTATTTTATTATAAAACTTAACATTATTTACAAAATGGAAAAATAATCAAGTGAATGTTGCAGGCCAAAGCTAAAGGTTTTTCACCCAGTGATTGAAGAAAAGTTAAGCCACACTTCCATGCACTCACGTAGATCATTTCTGAAATATGCAAACTCTTAAAATTCATGTTAGTAAAACTTTAATGTATTCACAATACTTGTATGCTTATGAGGAAGATGGGGAGGAAATCCATGGTTCTGTACAGTAAGTTTAGCATTAACAATTTGTTCATATTCCTTTAGTATTTTTGACTTTCATAGCATCAAACATTTTGCAAGTTAACTGTAATAATAGTATGTCTGTCACTTTGCTAAATTCATCACCACAAGAAAAACACAGTAGTTTAATGCTTTTGCACTAAACTGAAGTTACATCTCCAAAGTTATATTAGACTGAAGCCTTCATTGTGGTCAATAGCTTGGATCAGTTTAGAGCGCAGAGTTTCTTTTTCTGTATATTTTGGAAGATCTAGAAGATTAAAACAGGTATGGGAAACTGGAAGATACTCCTCACCACCTCCTGTTGACTGGATGACTAATTTCAGACTCTTCATGCCAAGAATAGGAATGCGATCACTACCTGTCAAAAACACTGCCAAGAGAAGATTCATTTAGATGAAACAGCAGCTAATACTCAGTAGCCACTACAGGAGGCTGTACATGAACAGCTGCTCTATGGTGGGAATGGAAAACAAGATTTGTAAGACATACCAATTACCCACCTACACACTACATTTTCTTTAAAAGTGTGATTTCTATGGGCTGGCAGAGTGGCTCAAATGGTAGAGCACCTGCCTAGCAAATTCGAGGCCAAGTTCAAACCCACATTGCACCAAAAGAAAGAGTGATCTCAATATTACCGTACAGGTGGGGCTCAATGTTTGATCAGTGACTGTTGGCACTGACAAAAACATTGTGCAAGCTCTTTTGCAAAGAGCCATTTAGAGAACTGGTTGATCAGCCAAATACAAAATGCAGTTTTGGGGTTTTTTTTTTTGGCAGTACTGGGGTTTGAACTCAGGGCCTCATACTTTGTAGGCAGGCACTCTACTAATTGAGCCACTCTGCCAGCCAGATTTTTGTTGTTTTTTTATTGATTCCTTTTTCTATTTGATCAAAAATTTATGATGGGCAGCTACAACTTTAATAATGTTCACAGAGTAAAATGTCATCTTTATAATAGAGGATTTAACTAAGATTCTCAAAAGATTGCCAAAAATATTGAATATCAAAAGGAATATGTGACCACTTTTTTAAGTAAATCAGGTTTCAATCAGAATTCAGATTTTTCTTTTCTTTTTTTTTTTTGAGATGGGGTTTCACTACATAGTCCAGGCTGGCCTCAAACTTCTGATCAAATTTGTGATCTTCTTTGCCTCAACATCCCTGGTGTTGGGATTGCAGGTGTGCATCACCATGTCCAGGGTAGAATTAAGGTTGTAAATGAGGGCATTAAGGCCTGGAAAAGAAAAGTTGTGTTTTCTGCAGAAATTCCCAAAGTTTTGGTGCTGAAACAGAGTTAAAAAAAAAAAAAAGGCCACAGAAAAGAGCTATACTCCAAAAATCTTTTTAGAATTTCTAAAAGGCATTCTACAATCCTAGCTTAGTTTTTAAAATGTTTCTTTTCTATGAACAAATGCTATTTTGGAGGCAATTAAGAACACAGATTAGCACTGAAAAATTTAGTTGAAAATTTAAGGCAACTTTAAAGCAGGTGCTGGTGGCTCACACCTGTAATCCTAGCTACTTGGGAGGCTGACATCAGGAGGATTGTGGTTCAAGGCCAACCTGGGCAAATAGTTCTGGAGACCCCCATCTCCAAAAAAAAAAACAGAGCAAAAGGTACTGGAGGTGTGGCTCAAGTGGTTGAGCGCCTGTTTTGCAAGTGCAAAGCCCTGAGATCAAACCCCAGTCCTACCAAAAAAAAAAATCAGGACCTTGGTATACTGTAAAAACAACCCTGTTTACTAAAGTGAACCAATCAATATTCTATAAGCTTAATTAGAGTGCTATGATAAAATATGGAACTAGTTAAAAATACTTACAGAGAAATTGTTTTTTCTTTTCCAGTGGTAATTCATGAAATACTTCCCAAAAAATTTTTATTGTAGGATGGTCTGCCCAATATTCCCCTTTGTATTCTGTATTCTAAAAACAAAATAACCTTGTATTAATCTTAACAGGCATTAGTCTTTATCTGTAAGCTTCCATGGTCCGAGTCTGAAACCTGGACACTGCGGATGATTTTATCCACTATCTCCTGGGCATAGTGCAATCTGAAGCTGTAAGCTCCAGGAGAAAGGGAAGAAGAGATTGTATGAGTCACCAGAAATATCTCCTCATCACTTCAAAAACATGAAAGGGACAGTACTATCTTCATAAGTAGATATATGAATAAAGATAAATTGCTAAAATAATGCTAAAGAATTATTAAAAGTTCAACATCATGAACAGAAGTTGAATTATTTTTACATTCTACCTCTCCTTTACAAAAATGCTACTAAGAGCAACATGAAGAATGTCCTGTGGTAGTTTCTGAGATAACCCCTGAAGACCCTCCTGGTATTCAAGTCCTGTGCAGTCAGTCACCTTCCAAAATGAATGGGCCCAACCAATCATCAGAATATTGTGGATATGAGCAATATATGACTTCTGGGGTGGGTCATAAAAACAAAACACCTCTTGGCTTCAGTACCTCATTCACTCAGGGAGTGCAGTGCTATTTCATGAGGACACTCAAATAGCCTATGGAGAGAGATCCTTATGGTGGCAAATGCCCTGGGTGTGAAGCAAATCTCCTCCTCCATCAAGTCTTTAGGATGACTACATCAGTAACCAACATCTTGCCTGTAACATTCTCAGAGACTCCTGAGCCAAGAGTACACAGCTAAGCCACTCCTGAATTTCTGACCCATAGAAATTGTGTGAGATAATGTTACCTTTAAGCCAGTAAGGTTAGGATAATCTGCAGCAACAGAACTTACAATTCTGTTCAAAAAAATACTAGTAAAAATAAAATTTAAGAGAGGAGATAAGAAGAAGTGAATAATTTGTATTTTGACAGGTTCTTTCAGACCCAACCATGATTGGCTTTAACTTTCAGTTCTCAGAATCCAAAGATCCTTCTAGCACTAGGATCTTTGCACATACTGCACCACTTAACAGCTATCATTTACAGACACATCATTCTCTCTTTATTCATCAGGCTAATTTCTACTTACCCCTTAAGACTCAGATCCAATGTCACCTAGTTCATTCACTGATTTCTTCAACAAACATACAGTGAGTTTTAGTCAATGTTTTGGGCCTGGGGAAACTGCAGTGAACAAAATCCTTACTTACCCTGTGGAATTTACCATCTACCAAAAGGCTTTTTTAGACTGAACAAGCTCTGATTAATGAGGGTTAATTCAGAGAACGAAGAAAACACATTCAGTTTTGGCTGGGGTTTCTATTCAGCCTGCACCACAGATGACATTCTCCTCTATCAACCATACCATCAATGCAACCGAATACAAAAATGCTATCCTTAATGCATATACAGTTCAAGTCCATTCATTGTGAAGTAAAAAGTTTTCCTATAAAAAGGCAGTAATAAATTGTATAAAAATGGAAAACTCATTAGTATTGTGGTAAGTTAAAAAATAAAAAAAAGGAAAGCACCACTAAAAAGAGATTTCTATCAATGTCATGTTCTTTTGTCTTTCCACTTAAACAATGTCAAAGGTTTGTTTTAGCCTACCTTTTCCAGTTCTTTCCAGTCGTAATTTGTATTTCCAATAACCATTGCTTGTAGTTCATTAGGCTGGAAGAGCAGAAGGACTTTTCCTCCACAGACCTTATGAAAGCCCGCATGGAAAGCATCAAATAAGGAAGCCACTGATTTATTGAATATGTAATCCACATAAGCATCAACAAATTCCTGCCTAGAAATAAAAAGGACACATGCACAGATTACAAAAATCAATTACAGAGAATACATAACATAGTATAATTAAACTTCTGAGTGGCTCCTGTAGTTTCTGCTACTTTTCTACCAGACTCAGAAAAATATGAGTAGGGCTCAAAGGGGACAAAGTCATTATCAGACCATAGGTTCAACCCCCAGCACCCTCACAAATCAGCTATATCCATGAGGTATTCACAATTACTCTTAAGCCACTCCTAATGGAAAAAAAAATGTAAACTTCTATGGGCAAAAGTTTACATTTATAAACTTATAAATTATAAGCAGTTTATAAATTTATAAATTATAATTTATAAACTTAAAAATAAGCTGCTTATAAATTATAACAGATTTTGGCTATCTACCAAAATACTCTTAAAATACTAACCACTGAAAATTGATGTATTACCTCAGATGCATCACTAAAGAGTGATCTGCTATAAACACTGGGTGCTGAAAAAATGAGAGCACTGGGATTCAGACTTGTGGGTTCCAAGGAAGCTGAACAAAATTTATTTTAAAAAGGGCTGGTGGAGTGACTCAAGTGGTAGAGAGTGCCTAGCAAGCATGAGTCCCTGAGTTCAAACTCCAATACTACAAACAAGCTGGGCACCAGTAGCTCATGCCTATAATCCTAGCTACTTCGGAGGCTGAGACTGGGAGGATCACAGTTGGAGGTCAGTCCAGGGAAACAGTGAGACCCACCTCCAAAATAACCAGAGCAAAATGGACTGGAGGTGTGGCTTGTAGAAGAGCACCTGCTTTGTAAGCATGAGGCCCTGAGTTCAAATCCCAGTCCCACCAAAAACAAAACAAAGCCAACAAATGGTTAGTAAGCATTCTTTTAGGCTAATCACTAAAGATTACAAGTATGTTTCTTTTTATATGTATGTGCAGTATACATTCTTCAGATACAAAAGGAAAGGATAAAGAAAACAGGAAACTCCTTTATACAATAAAGGAACTGAAGTTTAAACTCAGGGATTCATGCTTGTAAAACAAGCACTCTACTGCTTGAGCTACACCTCCAGTTCATTTTGTATTGGTTCTTTTGGAGATGAAGTCTCATAATTTGTTTGCCTGGGCTGGCCTCAAAGTGTGATCTTCCCAATTTCAGCGGTGCCCGGCTACAAGCATTTTTATGAAACAATCCAGTTAAACAAATAGTAAGAATAGATATGCAAGGATTAATATTTTATATCTTTGTCTTCCAAATAAAAAAGGATAATTCTATAAGTTCAATCATCTTCGGACAATATTCTTAGCAAGTTATCAAGAAATTCCGAATTGAATTTATTAGGAAGAGAAAAATGTTTAAAGGAGGCCACTGTAAAATACAAAATTGGTAGGCCTAAGGAAAAAAACCAATGGTATATGCTATTAGGTTCAGATGAGGAAATGGTGAATTATGTCATGTATAAATTTATAATTCATTCAATTAGAAAGTTAAATTCATCTATAGTAGTTAAATCCCTTAAGTACAAAATTCTAGATCATTTTACATGCCCACATATTTTTGTCAAAATTCTTTATTTTCAGCTAAATAATCTATATGAACTTTGGTTTTTTTATCCAAGGTACTAGAGTTTGAACTCAGGGCCTATGCTTGCTAGGCAGGTGTTCTACCACTTGAGCTATGCATACAGCCCATGTGAAATATTTTTAGGAACTAAGAATCAGTGCAACTATAGAACCTTTAAAAGCAGAAAAACATCAAGGGGTAGAGTGCCTGCCTAGCAAGCATAGGGCCTCAAATCTGAGTACTGCCAAAAAAAAAAGAAAAAAATCTACCATAGTCAAAAAACAAGTTGTTTTTTTTGTTTTGTTTTGTTTTTAAAACAACAGCTAGGCCAGGCACCAGTATCTCATGCTTGTAATCCTAGCTACTTGGGAGGCAAAGATCAGGAGGATCATGGTTTGAAGCCAGCCTGGACAAATAGTTAGACCCTATCTCAAAAAAACTCATCCAAAAAAAAAAAAAAAAAAAAAAAAAAAAGTGCTGACAGAGTGATTCAAACAGTAGAGCACCTGTCTGGTAAGCACGAGTCCCTGAGTTCAAACCCCCCAGAGTTCCCTCCCCGCAAAAAAAACCAGCTAGAAGGACCTAAAATTCTTTCACACCATTTTAACAACAGCTTTATTTTGACCAAAGATATATTCATAGTTCAACAGTAATAATCCTAATAGCCAACATTTACTGAGCACGTACATGTGCTAGGTCCTATTCCAAGTATCTTAAAATTATTTATTTCTTCACCTCATCCTCAAAATAACCCCATGAAGCAGGTATAATTTCTCATTCATTTTACAGAAAAGAAGACTAAAAAGTATGGAGACATCAACTAATTAAAGTCACACAGCCTCCAAATATCAGAATCAGGATTACAATTGTTTGGATGACATCCTATCCTAGACAGCAGCCACTGACCTAGTTTTGTGCAAAGAATTATAACCAAATAGAAGGGAAGGAAGCAGCTCTGTCCTGTGCTTCTTGACCACAAATTCCTGCTCCTTGAAGCCAGTGACTTGTTAACTTTTTCTTACTTCTCCTGATATTTACCCTCAAGCATCTAACAATACATTTCTATTGTTAACCCTTTATTTTCAATTTTAAATATTATCTAACGAACTTTATACTTGCTGGGAAAGGGAGAATTTATCTTTTGACTGTTCCACTCTCACTTTCCCTCCTCCCCATACCCTCATATAAGAATTTCTGACCCAATGTTCACTGTATTTTTATGATTATAAATACTAACAATTAAGTTGCAAAGTATTCTCTGCTACTTCATTCCTAACTTCTCCAACAGAAATGTCAATTTCTTATATATTAACTGAAATATGTTAGAAAGCATTAGCTGCATCTTTCTTCTCAAGTCCTCTATCCTCTTGGTCTAACTCAGATTGTTAGCTTTTCTCAATCTTTCTATACAGCTACTGCTCCTTCAGGAGTTCTCTTGCTCTTATAAGCAACCCTTGTGTTAGTATAACACATTCCCTAATAACTTGCTGAGAAAGAGGCACAGGAAGTAAATTCTGAGATTGTGTATGAAAATGTCTAACTATATACTTGACAGTTTATAGAAGTCTTAATTTTTTTCCCAGAATTTTGATCATCTAGCTTCCAGTGTCATTCCTTACAAGTCTGATGTTCTGATTCCTAGTTCTGCACTTGATTTTAGCTGAAAAGCTGAGAGGTGATGATTCTAAGTTCTTTGCGTGTTGGCCTCCAGTGACAGATCGTAGAGTCCCGTGTCTTTGGGGATTTTCTATGTGGCCTTGGTATGTGTCTTTTTTTTTTAACTTTCCATGCTCATCTTTAAAAGGCATGTTGTTCACTTCTGTTTAAGCTGTTTCATTTTTTTGGTAGGACTGGAGTTTGAACTCAGGACTTCATGCTTGCAAAGCAAGCACTCTAACACGTAAGCCACTCTGCCAGCCCAAGTTCTGAGAAGTTTTTTGTACTATTTTCTTTGACAAATTTCATTCCACTTCTTTCAATGAATTTTTTCCCCAATTCTTAGGTTAGATGCTACTCAGCACTTCTGAGTATACAGATTTCATTTTCTTTTGACATTTTATTCTTTGTTCTGTAGTGTTCCCATGTCCTTGCTAGTCTTTAAAAAACTATTTGATCTTCTTTAAATGTCTACTAATCTGTGACTACTCACTCATATTTAGGGTAGGCAGTTTGCCCAGAAAAGGATCCTCCAAAATACAGTATTAAGGGAGAAGCAGCTCTAGGCTTATCTTTTTGATTTTAGTTCAGCTCCTTGCCCATGGCTGTGCCTAGCCTCTCAAATCCACAGTCCCTTTAGTTGAATCTCTCCAGAAGGGACACTTCCAATTTCCTGCCCACGTTGGAGAGGGGCTATTGCCAGGTTACTAGATGTGCAAGGAAAAGGCTTCTATTTGCTTCTTACAAAAGCCAACCTTTCTGTTTCCAGCCATTTCTTCAAATCCTTTTAAAGGTATATTTTAGCCTCAATGCCTGAGCCTTTTCTTCTGGGGGTGGGGTTGGGGTGGAGGGAGATTAGTAGGGTTTGAACTCAGGACTATGCACTCGATAAGCAGGTGCTCTATTACTTGAGTCATGCCTCCAGCCCAATGCCTATACCTTTGTTCTGCAATATGAACCTCCAGTCCAGTCCATTTCATGCTTCAGTCTTCTCTGATTTGCTAGTTACTTGCATTTTCTTGCTTCCAAAACCGTGTTTGCTATTGTCTCCTCTCACCTCTCTTCACCTCTCTTTGTTCTTTTGTTTATGATATTTCCACTCCTTTACTGATGTCTTAAAAGGGTTTTAGGAACAAAGGCAGATTACTTCTCCTTACTATACATTCAAAGACTAATTTTTATAGGAGTTAAAACTTATAGTTGTGACATGTTTCCAACAAAATACAGAAGAAATCTGCTAAATCTTATCAGTCCCATTAATGCTGCTATTATTCACTTACCTATTTTGTTTGTTAACAGCTGTTTCTGCACCATTTAGAACCAGTTCTTTCACTTCAGTTGCACCAAAGTTTTCAACTGTGATCTATTAATTTAAATTTTTAAAAGAAGTCAATGTCAGACTCAAAACTTATTTTGACAATCTACTACTCTTCCTTTCCCTTGTTAAATATAAAAGCTAATAAATTTGAGACAAAATTCTGCTACCAAAAGCTTATTTATCAATTCTGCTTAAAGCCACAACTAGGAATTTTTGCCCTCTCTAGTAGTTTGATATCCTACCATAACTAAGTATAAATTACCAAGTGTTTACTTAGCTAAGCACAGGAAACAGATTTTCTTGTACAAGAACGTTAGAATAGAGTTAAATATTAGAAAGGATGTTTTTCTTAGGTAAGTGAATGACTCTAGTTATCACAATGCATTTAGCTTAGAACAGCAGTGCATTTCTCCCACATGACAATCACTACTTTCTGGTTGGTATTCCTCTAATCTGCCAGTAAGCTCAGTTACTAGTGAGTTGGTTTTTTTTTTTTTTTTTTTGGGTTACACATTAATATCCTTCCCTAGAGTCAGGGATGGTGGTGCATACCTATAATCCCAGCACTTGGGAGGAAGAGGCAAGGAGGATTGCAAGTTTGAAGCCACCCTGGACTACACAGTGAGATCTTGTCTCAAAAAACCTAAAATCAAACAAACAAAAGCCCCCATTCCCAACTCTACATTTTTTTCCTTTCTTTATTCCTTGTTTTTGGAATATTATCCTCTTTTATGAAAGTCTGGTATCTATAAATTACCAGGATGGGAGCAAGACATCCCTGCTCTTCAGTTTACTATCTTGTAGAGGGAAATATGGATAGTGAAACAACTCATTATAATAAAACAATGCTAAAATAGTGACACTAACAAAATTTCACCAGACAACACAGGAAAGAAGACGTAATTCTAACTAGAGAAAATATGAAAGACCTTGAGAAAGAAATCCCATTTGTAAAGTACCTAGGATTGGAAGGATTCTAAAAGACTGGGAGGGGAGCTGGACTTCAGACCAACTGAGTAAATATATCAAGCTCTGAAAATGTATGGCAAATGCCTTTAAAAAAAGAGGCAGGTAAAGTTTATGAAAGAATACTGTGTGGCACAATATAATTTGGTATAAATGGAGGGATACAATGAAACTTGAAAGAAAGCCAAATTATAAATGCCTCTGCTGTCCTACCTCAAGTTGTTATTCTGCAAGCAATAAAAGCCGTGGAATATACTGAGAAACAAATGACAGCAGGAAGAAATGTTTAAATTACCACTGTTCTTGAAGAAAACGCCTATTTGAGGGAGTTCATAAACTTGGTAATTAATAAATTAGAATTTTTTTTTTGGTGGGACAGGGTTTGACCTCAGTTTTGCACTTGCAAAGCAGGTGCTCTACCACTTGAGCCACACCTCCAGTACATTTTGTTCTGGTTATTTTGGAGATGGGGTCTCGAGAACTATCTGACCCAGGCTGGCCTCGAACCTCAATCTTCCCACTCTCAGTTGCTCATGTAACTAGGATTATAGGTGTCAGCCACTAGCGCCTGGCAACAAATTAATAGTTCAAACTGATTGGAACATAATATTTTAGTCAACTGAGATAATCAATAAAGATTCGAAGAAACTTAATGGATATAAGTGAATCCACCAGTATTTCTCTGAAAGTAGGAAGGGAAAAATTACAAGGAAGATTTTTTTTTGAAAGAAAATTATGAAAATAAATTTGTTTACTTCAGCTCATACATATATCAAATTTTCTTATAAATGCACAACATGCCAAATCTTAAAATGGCCAAAGAATTGATAAACCTTTTTGTCAGCAAACTGTGTTAACAGCAGGAAATCATATTGTCTGTTAGCTTTGACAACAAAACCATTAAGCAGATGGGTTAGGGGGGAAAATATACAAATAAAAAAATTTTTAAAGAGAAAGAAGACTGAAGACCTTCCATTTTCCCAAGAGTCTGATTTCTACTATTCAAATGCTCCCTTCATTCATGTCTTAATATCATCCTTGTTGATATTCTCTTTAATTGCCAATCACTCTATTTCTGCCAGATTCTTATGTGTCAATAGCTTTGCGTATGAAGAGATCAGTTAGTCTGGTAAAAATTTGTTACTGTCATTATTACAGAATTATTTTATTATTTTAATTTTTTTTTTTTTGTAGACTGGGATTTGCACTTAAGGCCTTACACTTGCAAAGCAGGTGCTTTACTGCTCGAGCCACCCTTCTGGTCCATTTGCTCTGGTTATCTTGGGGATGGGGCCTTGAGAACTATCTACTTGGCTGGCCTTGAACCTCCATCCTCCCAATCTCTGCCCCTCTGGCAGCCAGGATTGCAGGCGTGAGACAGCGGTGCCCCAGATTATAGCATTATTTTATAATGAGTTGTTTTAACTACTCAACATCCCTTTCACTGATTTAATACAATTCTGCATTCTTTACAGATTTGAAATTTCACTTTCAATAATACTGCAGTGTACTTGCATTTATATTATTCTAATTCATTCAATAGTGAGTAAGACAAGATAGGCAAGGATGAACAGGATGGACATTAGTGAGAAGCAAAGAGCTATACTCTTTCAGTGGTAAGCTCATTACTAATGTTCTCATGTAACAGTAATCTTTGCTTCTCTAAGCATTTCTGTAATTAAGGCTTGAAAATGAAGACCTGGATAAAGATCTCTTGCATTTGTAAGTATCCTTAGCATAATATTAAAGTACATAAGCACTGAAGTCACAGAGCTGAGTGTGAATACAGATTCTGATATGTAATTGTTGTTTACAGTTTTCCTATCTGTAAAACAGGGATAATATCAACCTTATGGGATTGCTGAGAATAAAATGAAATAATGAATGTACTGTAGCCAGCATACAGTAAATGCTCAATAAATGTTAGCTTTAACATTTAAACTATTAAAATTAATTTAAACTGTTAAACATTAATTGTTGAAGTGTTAACAATTCCACCTATCAAAGTAAAGAAAAACCAAAAGGCACATATCACATAAAAGGGATGATAGTCAGGCTCTGTTCACCTTACCGTAAAATTTAGACAAAATGTTTCTTCTATATCATCTTCTGGATAATCTAGTAATTGCTGCATGCTTCTGTAAAACATATATAAGTTTCTTTAAGGTAAAACATTACTGGTATTTTAACTATTTTTGTTTATGAATAAATACATATTTCTCATTCCCTCTTGCTAACATTCTTCCACTAATTTGTGTATTTATATTTGTTTCAGAATAGTGGATGTACAATGGCAAACTTATAAACAACTCTGAAGAAAAATTACCAGTCTAGGGGGTGAGCGGGGACTAGGGAGAACAATGGAAGAGGTGAATCTAATTCATATACGTAAGCAAATATGTAAATGTCACAATATACCCCCCATACAACTATTACAAGCGAAGGAAAAAAAAAAAAAAAGAACCAGTATAAGGTTTTTTCTCTCTTCCTCTGAATAAAAAAGCCATGTATCAATATACTGGTTTTATTTATAAATAAATTTAAAAATATTTATTTATACATAAATAAAAATATATCATGTATTTATTTATACATAAATAAAAATATATCATGTTTTTATTTATATGGAATTTTCATTCCATTTTATGGAATAAATTTTTAGCTTCAAAGTAGAAATGAAAGCAAAGCCCAAATAAATTATTTAATCACTCTCAGAAAACATTACTTTCCTAAAATTTATTTCCTAGTATTTGTAAAGTATTTATCAATAAACCACTCAAAATTGAGCTTTCAAGATGAAAGTAGAAAATTTTGTTCTTAGTAACATAATACAGTTTCCTTTATTAAAATGGCTTTTGTTTGTTTATTCAGAAACTGGACAGAAGCAACAAAACAAAACTATTCCTAGAAAGAAAGTTTTGTGTACATTCTCTATTTCTCACCTCCCTAACCCAACCCGTGGCACTTTTTACAACTAACCTCCCAACATCAGGCATTAGTTCTTTCAAATCATCAAGGGATGGCTTCTTTTTCAGTAGTTTCTTATATAAAGCCAAAGGAAAATGGAGGTCCACAATAGTAAAATTATAAATTGCTAATCCACAAATAACACCAATCAAATGGAACAAATCACTGTCTTCAAATGTCTAAAAATGCAAGGAAGAAAAAATTAAAGATTTGTCTTCTGAGTCAAAACATAATTTTTTCTTTTGATTACAAAAACATATCCTTGGGTTGAGGACATGGCTCAACTGGTAGAATGTTTGCTTAGGAAGCATGAGACCCTAAGTTCAAATCCCAGAACCACCAAAACCCCCCAAAACAAAATGCATAGCCTTGTATTAGAAAAATTTTAAGATACAGAAAAAAAGTAATGAACAAGAAAAAGTTCATCCTCATTATTATCTCCCTGGCATAACATCACTGTTAATATTTTTGTACATTTCCATTCAACGTATTTTCTAAGAACTAAAAAACTAGTATCTAGGTGAGATCATAACAGCTACATACACACATGACTTTACAACTGGCATTTTCTGGGACTACTATTTAAGTATTTCCATTCCATTAAACATTAAATTTGGGCTGGGGATGTAACCCAGTGGTTAGCACGCTTGCCTTGCATGGGCAAGGCCTTGGGCTTGATCCCTAGAGTGGCACAAAAAAATAAATTAAATAAAGGTAAAACAATGACTATACTATTTTTTTTTTTCAGATTTAAAACCAATATACAGGTGGAGGTATGGCTCAAGTGGTAGAATGTCTGTCTACCAAGCTTGAAGCCCTCAGTTCAAACCCTAGTACTGAAAACTGAACAAAAATAAAAAACATTTAATATATATTCAAGCCAGCCGTGATTGTGCACCTATAATCCTAATACCCAGGTGGAGGCTAAGACAGAAGGATTATAGAATTCAAGGCCAGCCTGAGCTACATAACAAGACCCTGTCTCAAAAAAAGACAAAAATGGATAAGCCATAAATTGATTTTAAAGAAGCCACATATAGGAGGAGGGGGAAAATGAGGTATGGCTTCTTTTTTGTGGGTTTGAATTCAAGGCTTTATGCTTGCTAGGCAGGTGCTCCACCACTTTTGAACAACTCCGCCAGCCTTTTTGTGTTGGACATTTTGAGATAGAGTCTCTTGAGCTATTTGTCTGGGCTGACTGCAAACTGCGATCCTCCTGATTTCTGCCTCCTGAATAGTTATGATTCTAGGCATGAGCCACTGGTGCCCAGCTTCAGTTTGTCTTTTTGATTTTGGAACTATGTAAATATTTTATATTCTTATAAAACTAAATTACATTTAAACAATCAATCTCCCCAACATGTATTCGTTTGATGGAATAGTGTTTGGCAAACAAAAGAAAAACACTATTATTTGAGTATATGTGTATACCCTAAGAATGAAATGAACTGCAGAACAATGTTTAAAATGCTTTCAGTAATCGTAATACTGCTGGTAGTTATGCAGTGAATGTGTAAGTCTGGAACACTGTGTCATAACAAAGAGTGCTAAGATTGTTTCAAAAAGACATGGGCAGCAACCTAGAGTTCTGCCTGGACATAGACAGGACAGCACAAGCATTAATAAAATAACTGCAGCTGGGCATGGTGGCTCATGCCTGTAATCCTTGCAGCTATGGAGGTAGAGATCAGGAGGATTGCAGTTCAAGGCTAGTCTGGGTAAAAAGTTCTGAAGACCCCATCTCAACCAATAGCTGGGCATGGTGGGGCTTGCCTATCATCACAACTGGCCTGGGCATAAACGTGAGACCTATTAAAGGGCTGTGGCATGGCTCAAGGTAGAATGCCTGCCTAGCAAACACAAGGCTCTGAGTTCAAACTCTAGTACCACCAAAAGAAAAAAAGATGATTACTGCAATGAATTAAAAACAGAAAATATGTTTAAATCCATGAAAACAAAATGATAAAAAACCAAAACAAACTGCTACCAGAGGAGGAGGTTAATGAAGGGATAGAGGTAACTAGATAGAATCCTTTCCCATATAAACTATACTACTAAGAAATCAAAAAATGTGGGGAAATTTCTTTATAGAGAAGTATGCAAGCTAGTAAGCAAAAAAGGAATACTAGAATTACAGCACTATTATTTTGCAACCTCCCATGAATTAATGAGGCTAGGCGCTGAATATTGATGAGTGCTGTCATCACAGGCTGACAGTTTCCTGGAAGACAGACTAATACATAAAAATTTTTATAAACAATGTAGATACTCGATACAATTTTTTTTTAAATCAAGTATCCAAAAACGGAACCATCCGTTTTTACTAAATATGGTTCAACAAACTTTTTCTATAGAGGGCCAGGTGGTAAATATTTTAGACTTTGTTGGATATGGGGTCTCTGTTCTAATTATTTAACTCTGCTTTGATATAGTTCAAAAGCAACCACAGACAATAGGTAAATGAGTGAGTGTGACTTTATACACAAAAATATGTGGTGGGGGCTGGCAGAGTAGCTCAAGTGGTACAGTGCCTGCCTAGCAAGCTCAAAGTCCTGAGTTCAAATCCCATACTGCCAAAAGAAAAAATATGGTGGGAAGAATTTGGCTTATGGAATATAGTCTGTGAAACCCTTACCTGATAAGGGATAGCAATGATCTCTAATGCTAAATTAATTCTTCTCACTAGTTAATCTAGTGATTGTTATTCAGCTTGCAAGCCGAGATAAGCAGAAAGAAAAGTTAACATATTTTCAGGCTGACTGTCCCTCAAAACATGTGTAGCTTCCTACATATTAATGTGCTTTTGACAACTCCACGTTTACAATTTTTCAAAAGATAGTAAAACAGATCTTTGAACAAGATATCAGGAATCCAGTAATACTCTGAGTTAATTTGATACGCACAGGTATATATACAAGGAAGTAATTTACATGGATGGATGTTTTACCTTATCTGAAAACCAAATGAGTCTGGAATCTTCATAATACCTAAACATGCCATATTTAGGATCCAATAATTCCCTCATGATGAGCAAGAAAAACTCTTTGCGGACCCCTCCTGCATCAACAGCATCTTCTCCAACAAATATTACCTAAAATAACAATGTAAACACTGAACAGACTAAAGAAATGACAGTGCTGGTGGCTCAAGCCTGTAACAGTTCGAGAGAATTAATTTCCAAAAAATAACTGGGGCAAAATGGACTGGAGGTGTGGCTCAATGGTTGAGCACCTGCTCTGTAAGCACAAAGCCCTGAGTTCAAACCCCAAACCCACCAAAAAAGAAAAAAAAAAAAGAGAAAGAAATTAAAAGTACATTTTGGAGGCTCCATAGTTTTAGTTTCAAAAATTAAATCTTAAATTTTACCAGGTTCTCAAGACACACAAAGAAAACTTTCTAAAGGAAAATCCCAATTATATAGAAGAAAATGTTAAATTACCTTGAGTGGCTTTTTGTAATCTATGTTCTTTGTTTTCCTAAGAACTTCCATTGCATCACCTACAATATTTTCTCTACGCACCACTAGAATTAAGCAAGGATTTACAGATTCAATCACTGGGAGAAAAAGAGAGGAAACGTTCTGTCTGTGGGCCTGGTCAATAGCCATCTAGAAGACAAAAGATAAAAACAGTAACAATAGCGATGATTGGATAAGCTACTATCTACCTTATCAGAGGTATGGCAGGAATAATTCCAGTGCTTCTAAGTTCAAACAGCATCTAACACAGCATCTAGTTCTGCGTAAAAACTTCAAAGTAAACTGAGCATAAAGAGTATCCTATTGAATTTTATATTAATGTACAACTCATAACATTAAGGCAAATATGTAACTAACAATAATGTTAAATCTGAGCTTTTCCCCCCTCTAAAAAAATAACAGTAATTAGGGGATAGGGATGGTGCATGAGGAGAAAAACAAAGCAGCATAACATAAACATAATATAAGCTCATAAATTAAAGAAAAGCAACAATCTAGTTAGCAAGTGTATTATAGAAATTCATCTAGTTAGAGGGATCACCATATTGCTTATAAATAGGTTTTTACCATTTAAAACCTTGGTTCTTTGTCTATGGCTTTCCTTGTGTTCTTGCTCTAAACAGAGTATACCATATTAAAAGCTCAAGTTAGTAACTTATCATTTTAGTAAAGACTTCCCCCCCAAAAAAACAACAACAACAACAACAAAAAACCCTGCTTTTTCTAGCCTACAAAAATTTATTTCTTCTGGTGATAAAAATCAAAATACGCACATCTTTGGCTTTTGGTTTTTTTGGTGGCACTGGTGTTTAAATTCAGGACCTCAGGCTTACTACACAGGCGCTCTACCGCTTGAGCCACCCCACCAGCTCTAAGTGCATCTCTAAAATTCTCCCTTTCTGAACATTTAAAACACCTAATGCACTTATCTGAACAAAATAAAATAAGCTATCAAAATTTGCTTTTTTTTAATTTTAAAAGTATTTTTAGAATATAAAATGCTCAATGTCTCATTTTATCCTTTCCTAAGTCCTCAGCCAAATATTCTATTCCTGGAGAGCAAGCTTAAAATAGTTTTTGTCTATAGGTTCAAATTAATAAAGCAAACATATTATAACCCTTCAAATCTGATCTAAGTTTAAAAATTTCATTGTGAATGAATACTCAACACAAAACAGAGGACAGCAGGGACAAAGGAAAGGGAGACGAGAGAATGAAAGATGGTGACTGATGAACCTCATCTTATTACTAGAATTTTTTTTTTGAGGCAATTTCATACTCTTAATAAATGACTAAATGTTTCCTACTTTATTTCACCTGTAGTCACGTCCATCTTTTACCAAATACATAAATAGAAAACATATTAAAGCAAGGTTCTGAAACAACCTAGCATGTTACCACGTAAACTAGTAAAACTGTTTATAAAGACTGCATATTTATGTAATGAAAGAGGCTCATATCATTTCTAAAGATACACGATGGACAAAGGCTATTCGCAAGCATCCCTTGTAAGTATACAAGTCCCATGCAGCAGTCATTTTTTTTTTCTTTTGTGGTACTGGGGTTTGAACTCAGGGCCTTGTGACTGCCAACCAGGCACTCTACGCCTTGAGCCACACCTCCAGTGGCAGTAGTTTTCTTTGTAGCTACTCAAAGCACTTTGTAAACGACAAGCCACAATGGTGTCCAAAAAGATTATTGATTATAGGCAAATTTCAAGTACTTACTTTAAAAAAATAATCACAGAAGTAATTCAAACAATACTCTCCAATCAAATTAGTATGAGATAATATTTTACCTGCATCTGTAAGACTGCATCTGTTTGTAACAGAGTAGTTTTTGCTTGGGCATCAAACACAAATGGATATGTACAGATTGTAACGGGGATGTCTGGCAGCTGGAAATAGAAGTGAACTTATTAGTAGAGAGAGGCATACAGTGTGCTTACTGTGGCTGCTGTCATTTCTTGTGAAGATGGTCACATTCTTGGTTTATTCACTAATGTGTGGCTCAGGAATTATAAATAAAACCTGTTGCTTATTTCTGAATATAGAATTTTTATTGATGATTAGTTGAGGCACTGGAATAAACCCAATTCCCAATTTCAGGAGGGAACTATATGTTTTAAAGTACATAAAGTAATAAATAACAAATCTTAGCTTCTCTCTCTTGCAGTACTAGGATCAAACCCATGGTCTTGTGCACACAGGCAAGCAGTGCTCTACCACTGAACTACATCCCCAGCCCTTAGTTTTTTGAGACAGGATTTTGCTATGTAGCTCAGGCTGGCCTTGGACTCACTAGGTAACCTCATGATGTTCCTGCCTCCACACACTGAACACTGGGATTACAGGCATGTACCACCTCACCCAGTACTTTTTTGCTTAGCATACATTAAGTCCAAGTTTCAATTGGTGGCTCCTGTGTTAAATACAATACCCAGTTCTTACATATTAGGGCTACTCTAGCAACTGAGGCCATTAACAAGTAACCCATCGGTTCCTTTATTTAACAGATACTACTGAGTGCCATTAGGGCGCCAAAATTATGAGCATGACAACCTGTTCATTCAACATTAAAATAAGCAACATTAGTATTATTCTCACAATTAAAGATTGTGAGAATTAATCTCACATTACCATAAGACATTAGACACCTTCAAGATATTTACCCTAATACAGTGATCTACATTTGTAAATACAAAGAATTATGAATCGCCAATTACACATTTTTGCAGTCATAAAATCTGAACCTGAGTTTTTGTTTTATTCAACAACTTTTTTATTTAATAATTTATTTTGGTGGGACCAGAATTTGAACTCAAGAGTTTCAAACTTGCAAAGCAGGAACTCTACAACTTAAGAAACCCCTCCAGTCCATTTTGCTGTGGTTATTTTGGAGATGGGGAGGGGTCCCTTGAACTATCTGCCATGCTGGCCTTGAACCTTGATTGTCCTGATCTCAGCCCCCAAGTAGCTAGGGTTAGAGGTGAGAGTCACTGGCATCTGGTTCCTCTTCCTCTTCTTCTTTTTGCAGTCCTCGGAGTGTTCTACCACTGAGGGTCTCCCACTCTACCTTTTGCTTTTAGATTGTTTTTCAGATAAGGTCACTAACTTTGCCAAGATTGCCTCCAGAAAAGCTGTGAGGATAAGCATGCACCACCACATCAGACTTATTTTTGAGAAAGGGTTTCACTAACTTTTGCCCCCCAGCTGGCCTTAAACAGTACTCCTCTTATTTCTGCCACTAGAGTAGATGGGATTATAGGCATGCACCTCCACACCAGCCCACTACCTAGAGTTCCCGATCATAGAAAGTCATTTTACATCTTTAAACTTCAAAAAGATTTAGGCATTTCTAAAGTCCCTTTTCAGTTCAAAACTATGCTTTCATAAATGTTTTTAAATTCTTTTTTCTTCTGGTGCTGGGAAGTGCATGCTAAGCAAGCACTGAGCTACATCTCAGTCCCATGTTTATGTAATTTTATATACATAAAATTATGTGCTACTTGTATTTGAGAATTAACAAGCAAACAGTATTACACCTATTATTCAAAGCTTAAATGCTTTATTAGTTCATGTATTAGAAAAAGCACACCAAACAAAAAAACAAGGTAAAACAAAACAAAGGCTCATATGTGCAACAGGTAAACAAACAATATGACATTCCCAAACATTTAAAGAGTGGTTGAGGGCTCCTGACTACTTAAGCCATGGTGGTAGAACTTTGTACATTAAGATAGTACAGGCGACAAAGAAAGAAAAAGGATCATATTTAAAGTTTACTTTTGTGATGATTTTAAATACCAATTATTAGTTTAAAAGATGAAGATCATTTTACTTCTCTAATGTAAACTATTTTTTTTGCTTACTGGGGAGACATTTGCCAAATTTTAAAATAAGAATTAAAAAATGCTTTTTTATATTCTGAAGACACATTACATTTTATATTGGAAGACTTAAGGAGAACAGAAACTACTTTAAAGCAAATTTTGCTGAAAAGCACCATATAGATGTAATGTTAACTAAAACAAGTTTCGATTTTCTTCACAAAATCCTTCTGAAATGTTATACAGGGTAACTTCTGTGGAGTCAACTTTTAAAATCAAATGATATGCACATATATACATTTAAAAAAAAACATACAAAAAAGGAATCTCTGGTTCTTCATATAGGGAAAAAAAAAGTGTATCTTACTCTGAACATGAGACTTTACTACACCAAACTTACCTCAGTTAATCCATGGCTGACATCCTAAGACAGCAGTGCAGAATGCAACAATGAGGAAAGAGCAATGTTAGTGTTCAAATTTAACTTTCTATTCAAAGTAGTATTTCATGTATTTGCTACAGCTGAATATTTACAAGGCAGAAAATACATCTACAAGTTACCTTTCCCACATGCAGCTTATATATCTACTTTATTTTACTAATGTAGGGCTGTTTTAGGTACTTTAACATAATGAAATTTGGTTTCAGCAACTAAGTATTCCTATTTGCAGAATTTAGGCAGACTAGGGAAATTAGTCCTAAATCTGACATGGCCTTAAATAATTTTATGGCTTAGGTTCTTTACCTGAAAAAATGGAGGAAATCTTTCTCGGACTTTAATTGGTTAATCTTGATAAAGTGAAAATGTTAATATTAAAGTATTATATGGAAACAAAATTAGTGAAAATAAGCCATAAATAACCCAATAAAACATAAAGTATCTTAAATATTATTTTAAAAAAACAAATTAACTTAAAATCTAAAGTACAGCCAGTTGGCCGGTGGCTCACACATGTAACCCCAGATACTTGGGAGACTGAGATCTGGAAGATTATACTCCAGGTCAGCCCAAGCAAATAGTTCTCAAGACTCCAGACACACACACACACACACGCCCCCCAAACAAACCAAAAAACCACAGAACAGGGCACAGGGGTTGGTAAGGAGTCAAAAGAGAAAGATTTATGAAGGACATGATGATGAAAATTGTGATAAAAGCCCAGCACTTCACATATGCTCATTTAAAGGACTAGAATCTTCAGAAGTATGTTAGTACATCTGTAAATGGTGCCTACTGTAGTGAAGAATTAATCTTATCCAAAGAGAGGCTGCTGCCCTGGGCTATTTGGACATGATCTACAGGCCTATGGAATGTCATGCCTGACAACAGTATTCTTATTGCCTGAGGCCTTTAGTTGCTCACAATGAAACAATGGGATTTATGATGGGCACTTGGGCCATGTGATATCAGTTTTGCTTCTACAAATGGTCAGCCACACGAGCAGGACTTGACTGAGACCCAATAAAAACTTTGGGCACTAAAGGTGCAGGTGAGCCTCAAGGTCAGCAAGCTCTATAAGTATTGTCACACATTGACGCTGGGCAACTCAGACTTAGAAGGAAGAACAACATGTTGATGCTCTGTTTTTGGCATCTCACCTTTACTTATCTCTATGTGCTTCTTGACCTGGGTGATTTTAACCTGCCTTCTTTCCCTGTAGCAAGCTGCAATTATCTGTAATTTTTCTGCGAGATCTGTAAGGCCTAGAAGCAAATTATCAAACCAGATAGTGGGGAGCTGCCCCTCTAAATCTGCAATTGGTATAAAAAGTGAGGACAGTCTGGTAGTTTTTAATTCTGTAATTGGCTGAATTCTCATAACTTAGGAAGAAACTCAACCCAGGAAAATTAAATACTGCTGTATCTTCCCAAAGCTGGTCTATCCAGCCCAATCTTCTATTTCACTGGTAAACATGTTATATGCATATCTCAGTAACTGTCCACAAGTAACATATGAAACTTAATTCCACAGGATAAACTCAGTGATAAGTTAAATACATAGCAATATAGTGAATAAGTAAGATTTATGATTTATAAATACAGAGTGTAGTATCAGAAACTAAAATTCTCACCAATCTACCACAGTATTTTTAGTAGTACTCATTTGTATCTGATACACATCTCACCAGGATATATAATTATTGAAAAAAAGCATATGCATCATTATAATTCAAACATCACAAACCCAGAATAGACATTTCTACGTCTTTTAATGAATTAGTCAATTTTTACTAGCTGTACAAGAATGACATGCATAGGTAACTGAAAATTTATATAAAAAGGGATGAAAGATAGTATTACCCGTTCTATTGTAATTTTATCAATTCTAACATTCTATTGCATTTTTTCTATTTTCTATTTCTGTACTGATATTTATTTTTGAAAGCAAATAAGAATTTGGTAGCAACTAAAGTATTTCTATAAACAAGAGCAAAGTTAAAGGAAGGCAAGGAAATGCACAACTAAGAATAATACCAATGAAGTAGAGAAAAATCATCAAATAGAAGAGTGATTGCCTAGCAAATGAAAGGTCCTGAGTTCAAACCCTAGTACCATGAAAAAAAAATTGTGGAAGATAAAAGAAGAAAGAGAACAGAAGAGATAGAACATATACATTCTTTTATTCTGCCAAGAGGTCACAGCAGAAGCAGAAAAAGAAATAAAAAACAAGGAATCTAAATGAAAAAATATTCACAATTACCATCAGTCTTGGGGGGAAAAAAACAAAAGATTACATACAGTCACAAGGAAGTGTAGGAGAATCAAGCAAAGACTACATAAGAAAAATGGACAACAAAAGGAGTCAAATATCCCTTATCTAAAAGGATGGGACCAGAAATGTTTCAGATTTTACAGTTTTACAAGTTTTGGAATATTTGCACATACTTACCAACTGAACATCCCTAATTTGAAAATTCTAAATGATTCTAAGTTCAAAGTGTTTTAAACAATTTATTTATTTATTTATTTATTTATTTATTTTGGTGATACTAGGGTTTGAACTCAGGGCCTCAAGCTTGCTAGGCAGGCACTCTACCACTTAAGCCACTCCACCAGCCTCTCAAAAC